GCGTTGGCCGAGGTTGTCTCTTTGGCTTCGCCGGAGCAGAGGTTGCACTTTTTGGTGGAGGGAAAGGAACTGGTCACTCTGCCGCTCGATGTCCAGGTTGTCCACATCTGTAGCACTTGATCTGGGATCCAGCAGATGCTCGAACAGACCCTTGTAGCAGGTGGTGGTCGTTGCAATGGTTGGCGCTTCACAGGGTCTCGCTTTGGTTGAGACCCTGAAGCTGCAGCCTTGTGGTACCGGGTCAGCTCGATGTCCATGTTCGTAGCTAAGCGGTACCAATCATAGAGTTGATCAGGATTGCCTCTGCAGATGCATGCCTGAAACAGGTTGTGATCTAGCCCTGCTTTGAAATAGTGGATCAATGATTGCTCAGGCCACTGCCTGATCTTCCCTGCCAGCCTGCGAAATTCTCTCACATATTCTCTGGCTGGCTGGCCCCTTTGCTTTACATCGTGTAGGTCTTTTTCCACTTGCACAGCTTGGGATTCATCCTCGAATCTGGCCCTCAGTCTGTGTGTGAACAGGTCGAGGTCCCATAGCTTGGGCGCTTGCTCCTCCTATAGGCCAGCTACCCACTCTGCAGCCTCCCCCTCCAAGTGGGCAGCCACTGCATCAATCATCTCTGCTTCATCCAAATAAGCCTGTTCATAACGATTAACGTGAGACCACACCTGATTTAGGAAGATAGTCACTTTCTCGGGGTCTCTATCGAAAGTGGGCTTAAGAGGAGGTGGTTCAGCTGGGCAGTGATCCCACAGGGCTTGCATGAATCCAGGGAATTGTGGTTGAGGTGGCTGCAATCTCCCTCTCTGGAAACCTGGTGGTGGGGGTCTCAGGCTGGCAGGTCGCCGATGTTGGTTGGGGCTGGCACGACGTCAATAGGGATTGGAGCCTGCTGGGCGCTGGTGATGATCTGGACTGGCAGGATGCCTATGGTGATCGGGGCTACCATAGCACCGGTAACGGTCTGGGCTTGCTGGGCAGCGGTAACGATCGGGACTAGGAGACCGATGGCGCCGATCTGGGCTAAGGGGACGCCTACATTGCTTGGGACTTACAGATCGCAGGTAATATTCAGGACTAACCTGTCATTGGGGCTGATCCGGACTAGCCTGGCGTCGGTGGCGGTCGGGGCTTCGCCAGTGCACCGGGCTCGATGTCAGGTCAGGCTTTGGCAGTGGGGAGATGGCCTGCTCAATCACCACAGGGCTAGGGATTTACCGGGGAGGGTGTGGTTCCTGCGCCCATTTGCCTTCTCTCCCACCAGTGAATATCTGGCGGGTGGCATGTCTCCCTTCGCCCACGTCCAACCGATCGAACTTCTCCCTCAGGCGGTCCACTGAGTGGCTGTGGACAGCCGTCAGGTACTTCCACTCACCGGATTCATCCCAAGCTGCAGGTCGCTTAGTCTTCATCGGTACAGGTGAAAGGAGACTCTGCGATGAAATCAATGGGAATTCAACCTCTGCAGCCTTCAGGGTGCTCTTTAGCGGCAGTGCAGTGTCAGACTGCCAGGTTCCCCCTAGGACGATGGCTTCCTCCTTCTGAGTCAGCTTCTCCCCCGGGACCTCATGGGTCTTTGGCCTCGCTCCAGCTGTTTCAATTATACTTTCCACAAAAGTAGCAGCCTTTGCCCCATCCACTGCAGCCACTCCCAGGCTCGGGAATGATTCCTCTTTTTTTTTTCCATCTCTGCGTCTTCCCTGAGTCTTTGTCATCCTCCCAAAAGGTTTGGGTAGGTGACCGGGGCTCAGGACCCCATGGATAATAGAATTTTGGAGTCTTGGTTTAATGTCATGGTTCCGATAGATGAGACCAGAAGAAATAAGAACTCTGAGGCATTTGTTTTCCTCAAAGAACAATTTTAATGGCTACATATCAGCACGAACATAGGTGAAACCAAGACTGGAAGTCCCCCCCCAAAGGTTACAAAGTAAAAGTTAAACTCCCCACCCACTAAATATGTAATAAATATGTAATAAATCACATTCTTCAATTAACACCTTTGGCGGGCTCTCTAACGGTAATTCTAGCCCGCCAAACACTTGAGCAATTTGACCTTGGTTCCCACAAGAAAGTTATTGTTTTGACTGAACTGGAAGAATGCATTTTCCCTCCCCCCATAGCTGTGGCAAGCCAAAAAACCAGAAGAAAGATGGCTGTAACAAAAAGTAGTTTTGTAGGTTTGACAGGCATAGAATCAAGATCACGCGAAGTATTAGTACCGCTTTATAAAACCCTAGTAAGACCACACCTGGAATACTGCAACCAATTTTGTTCACCGTACTACAAAAAAGATGTTGAGACCTTGGAAAAAGTTCAGAGAAGAGCAACTAAAATAATTAAAGGCCTGGAGACTAAAACATATGAAGAACGGCTGTGGGACTTGGGTTTGGCTAGTCTAAAGAAAAGAAGAAACAGGTGACATGATAGCAGTATTCCAGTATTTGAGGGACTGCCACAAAGAAGAGGGCGGCAAACTATTCTCCAAAGCACCAGAGGACAAGACAAGAAACAATGGTTGGAAACTGACCAAAGAGAGAAGCAACCTGGAATTAAGGAGAAACTTCCTAATAGTGAGGACAATTAACCAGTGGAACAGCTTGTCTTCAGAATTAGAGTACTATGAATAATTACAATTGATAAATGAGGTTAGAGAAATTGTTCCTTCTCTCTGTTTATACCTGCTGTTGTCATGTCATAGGTGTCTGCAAAACAGTGGATGCTGTCATTTACAGAATTGCTATCAATTTATTACCTATATAGTTACTCCACGACATCAGAAAAATTGTTTAACTATAAAATTAAATGAACAACAAATCCACACAAGTGGTTTCTGTTGGAATCACTCCAAATGCATTCCTTTCAAGGGGAACATTTTGGGTGAGGCTTTGTTGTGGGATGTGTCATGGCCTCCTCAGAGGCAGATTCAGTGGAAGAGTTGGAACTGGGACTGGCTGACAATGCAGTCCCGGGCCCCTCAGGCATTGGGGGAGGCGGTCGACAAGACAGAGAGCTGCTTGCCTGCACAGACACGGGAGGATCGGCTGCTGATCGGCAGTGTTGACAGGCAGTTAATCTCCTCTGATGAGGAACAGCTGTCTACTCCACTGATCCAAGGGCAAGGAGAGTGGAATGTAGGCAAGCCCACAGAAGGGCTGCAAGGCTACTCAGGAGGAGATTGCCCCACCCCTCCTCACAAGGAACACCTGGAGGGGAGTAACTTAAGGAGAAGCTGGGGAGTTAGTCTTTGTCAGGAAAAATTGTTTGTTTTGGATTACAGTCCTCCGGCTTTGACTCATGCCTTTTGCCTTGCTTCAAGGACTGCTTTTTGCCTTGCTTTGAGAACTGTTCTTGTCTTGCCCTAGCCCTGAAAACTTTACCTTCAGAACTGCCTTTGCCTTGGACCCGGTCTTGCTTTGAGGACTGCCCTTTGCTTTACCTTCAGAACTGCCTTTGCCTTGTACCTTGTCGTTGCCCTGAGGATTGCCATTTATCTTATGCCTGGACTTTTGCCTTGTGGACTTAGTGGGTAATCTGTGGACTGTTGTTTGGGGGACTGAGGGTGGAGCCTTACTGGTCGGTGGAGGGCTGTTTGTTTAACCCTTCTCAAGAGAAATAAAGAACTCTCTAGAGGCCTGCCTTGTCTTGACCACCTGGGTCATAACAGGATGAAACCTAGAAGTCCTTCCTTGGTGTGTGCCAGACTTCTCTGCTATAGTTTAGAACATTTTTCAGACTTGTAGGAGAATGCAATCTGCTGTGGGGAATAAACTTTATCCAGTAATTCTATTAAGTCTGTTGGGAGGAACTCCCCCGTTTTGGGCTCTTCCAGCCGGGATTTCCGCAATCAGAGCTTGAAGAACAAATAGAACAAGAAGCCAGCTACGGGAAAGAGAGATTTAATCACGGAGATCAAAGTTGAGTGACAATTCAGCATGAATCCCTGGCTAGCCAGAAAGAGTGGTCCCCAAGCATGAGTTTTTATACTTTTTCTTGGTTTTCAAAACTGTCATTTCTGATTTGTGGAGCAGTGTCTATTGATGGGTTAATTTATCAGGTATTGCTCAGGAAAAAGGTTAATCCTTGCCTCAGGAGAGGATCTGATGTGTTTCTATTTGTTATCTATTTATTATTATGTTCTTTTTGTGTCCTTGTTCTAATCCCGTCAGTCTTTAATTGTTGATAGCCGGTCTTGCGTTCTGGCGGTTAAGCTTATTTTAAATGTTTAAGGCAAGCTGACACTTTGTATCTGGTATGTTAAGTGTTCATTCACCTGGGGCTGATTAGCTTGGACCTGAGTCAGACTGATTTTCTTTGCATTGGGGGTGGTGGGTGGTTTTCCTGTATTGGCTAATATATTTTGTTTGATTAAATTATATCCTTTTACTGGGATGAAGGGGGTTTCTCATCAAGTCTTATACAGTATAAGCTCTGTCTGCTCTTATTTATCTGTATAGGGCTCTAGAAAACAGCAAGCTAGAGAAAGGGGGCAAAAAAATGGTGTTCATCAATTTAGATTATTAAAAGTGCTGCATACAAAGGTGTCCTCCATGCTTACCAACATTTAATTTTAAAATTATTTCCCTAAAGCTGTAGCTGTTACTGAGAAAAGTTTTTTCAGTTTGAAGCACAAGTTCAATATACTCCAATTTGAGTTTCCTTCTTGCCTTCCAGTAAACCACTCACATTTCATTATTTTGCACTTAGAGCAAGCATTGTGGCTGGGCTATTACTACCACTACTATAATGCTAAATGGAATATAACCATAAAACCTGAGATCCAAAATTTCTTTGTAAATCACGTGAGACTTGCATAATTGAATTTGTGTATTGGAGCACAGCTCATATTATATTCAGATGCTTAAATGGACAAACACAATACCCACTTGAGGAAAGAAGCACACACAAACACACATATACTGTAAACGTATTTTCCCAGAAGTCAGCATTATATGATCCTTTTGATATCTGTTAATACTGCTCATTTTTTTCCTTAGGTGGTGGACAGGTGGAGGTGAAATCTGAGAAACTGGACTTCAAAGTGCAATCAAAAATTGGGTCATTAGATAACATCACCCATATCCCTGGAGGAGGAAATAAGAAGGTAAAAACATTTTCCTCTTGCTGTTGTTTAGATTTCTTTAGGTTTGACTAGAAAGCTGTAGAGCAATAATTGTATTAAGCTTTTGAGAAATACTATATCAAATCTTCTAATGTCTGGAATGGTGCTAATTTAAGTTTTAACACAATTCTTACTAGGTCCCAATTTTCATAATGCAATATCTGTAAATATCCCCATTGCATATTGAAGCCTATTAAAACATTGGCTAAAAGCTTCCGGTGGCGAGGCTTCGCCGATGGAGGCTTTCTTTTCAGCCTCCTGCCCGGGACTGCGTCAGAGCTGTCAAAACAGCGCGGATCAGCTGTTTTGCGGCTTGGAACTCCCTCCCCGGGCGAAGGGGAGAGAGTGAGTTTGGTTCAGATAGGGGTTGAGTTCCCTAGTCCCCCCAGGAGTGATCCTGGGGGGGATGAAGGTGAGAACTCCCCCGGAGTCTGGACCTCTTCTCCGCAGCTCGGAGTGTCTTCGCTCTTCGGAGCGAGGCTAGACGTTGCTGCCACTGCTGCTACTTTGTTTCTGCTTGTGAGTAACTTTTGAACAGATGGAACCTGACAGGGGATTTTTTTTTCTGCTTTAGTTAAATGGTGACTTTAACTCAAAGATTTTATTGGGATTTTTGCTATTTGTTATAAGTGAAAGTGAGAAGAAAATGGCCGCGGAAGCGCTGTTTCTTTGTAACAAAAGGAAAACTTTCACTTTCTTACCGGTGGTGGAATGATGCATTTTAAAGGATTTTAAAGAACTTTTCTTAAGTCAAGCTTTTTTAAGCTAATTTTTGCTTTTGTGAGTTTTAAAAATAATTTGGCAGAATGGCTAC